TCGCCTGCTAATGATATAGAAAGACGTTGCCTGCTGATGATATAGAAAGATGTCGCCTGCTAATAATATAGAAAGATGTTGCCTGCTGATAATATAGAAAGACGTTGCCTGCTAATAATATAGAAAGACGTCGCCTGCTAATGATATAGAAAGATGTCGCCTTCTAATAATACAGAAAGACGTCGCCTGCCGGTTCTATCTAAGCATTCCAACCAATTGACTGACTCCAAACCGGTGCCACGTGACGGCCCAGGCGAACACCACGGCATGAGGCGGCGAATGGAGCGGAACTCACGTCATGTGACTGCGCACCCAGGCGCGTGACACAAAAGCGTGGCTCGCCCTGAAGAGCTACGTGAAGTTACAGCACTACTGCGAGGTAGACTAATCAGTCAACAGAGTATACTACGTCTCCAAGACCTGGTGAGAACCCGGACTTCGACGCACGCGAGCCTGCACAATACACGCGCCGCGGTCACGTGCCCTAGCCTCCGCTCTCTGGTCCCCCACAGATTGTAGTGCTTGGTGTCGGCCTGTGGCCGGTGAAACCTGCTGCCAATATTGGCCCCGATTGTTGGCCCCGGTTTATTGCCCCGTTTTAGTGCCCCGTTTTAGTGCCCAGATTTTATTGCCCGTTTTAGGGACTAATTAGATGAGGTAAGAAGAGATTGTCAACCAGATCATCAAGACAAGTTTATGATAAATACTTTACAACAAAAGAAAACGGATCCAAATAATTGCTATTGCTACGATTTAATTATCTAAGGGAAACAAGTCTATTGGCCCGATTTTATTCCCCCATCTCTGGCCCCGTTTTCTGGCCCCGTTTTCTGGCCCCGTTTTCATTGCCACGCGCCCCTGTGTGCACTCCGCGAGAACCTACCCGCGCGCGCTCAAACATCAACTCCATACCCAGCCCCAAACCTACATTCTCATTCTTGGATCCACACAGCGATCCACCCCAGCACCCCAAAAACGGCCGTGCAATCACCCATGGCCGCGCGCGCTGCTACCAGAAGCTCCCGGCGCGTTGCGCAGAAACGGCAGGCGCAAGCGGCGCCCGACACGTCCGACTCGGACCCGTGCTTAGCCGCCCACTCGGACGGCATGCCCTCCGACACCAGCGCCTCGGAAGACGCGTTTTCCGAGCCGGAGGACGCGCCGCCGGCCCGCAAAAAAGCAAGGCCACGTGCCGCGGGCGCCGCGGGCGCCGCCGGCCCGGCGGACGCCGGGCAAAACGCGCTCTACAGCGCTTTGGCACAGCCAGACGTGGCCGTGGCCGACTTGGCGCTCGAATGGATGGACGCGTTCGAGCCCGGCGGCGACACAGACACGGCGGCCGCGCTTGCCGCGCTCGTCAACTTGGTTTTGTGCGCGTGCGGCTGCACACACGCGGTCCAGCCGCACGACATGCTCAACGAGGACTCGGCCGGCGCCACGGTGGCCGAGCTCGGCG